TATCTGGGTGAGCCTGATGCAATCAGAGCTCCTTAAAATACAGAGAGGTGACAAGGCAAGCAGAGAATCAGAGCGGAGCGTGGGAGAGATTCCACCAGCCACACCTGGCTTCAAAGATGAAGAAATAGGAAAATGAGGCAAGGAATACAGGTGGATTCTGGAAGCTGGAAAAGGCAAGAAAGTGGATTTCCCCCTAGAGTTTTCAGAAGGAGCACAGCCCTGCCCACACTTCGAATTTAGCTCAGTGAAACCCACTTCGAACATCTGACCTCTAGAACTGTGAGGTAATAAATTTGTTTCAACCTGCTAAGTATTTGGTTATTTGTTACAGCAGCCCAATAAAACTAATACAATAGTGCTTTGTCATTTTCCATTGTACCCAATATGATGTCACACAGACAACATTCAATATTTAATGAAAATTAGTAAGATACTTAGGATTTGTCACTTTCTGGCTTTTTATATGCTATGGAATTCAGTCTGATGTGTTCATTCATAATATTTCTGAATATCTGAGATTTATTTAAGAATATGTGGAATAATATGAGACCTTTTATTTGGGACTAGGAGTTGCAACAGAGAAGAATTACTTTTCCAGTAAATCAATGGACTTGATGAGTCTATTTATTTTGCCATCAGCCCAATTGCCTTTCTGTTCTCCAGCAGTCTACTAGAAAAGCTCGATTATTGACAATGGCACAGGTCCTTCTCTTTCTTCAGTGGCTGCTGGCTTAGCCTCTTCTGCCCTGCCAACTCCCTGGGGCTTGATATGCACAAATGGTGCAGCCCAGCTAGGACTCCACTGGGTACAGAGTTAACTGGCTGAGGCATGCAGGCTAAATACTTCGGTTAGCTCCTTCTGTGCATTAAAATTTCCATACGCTCAATGCTTTTTAGTTTACAAAGTGTGTGATTTCATTTAATCTTCACAATAACTTGGTGGAGGAGGTATTATTGCCTTCATTTTACAGTTGAGAAAACTGAAAGTTAAGGGGAGTTTACAGGTAGTAAATGACAGAAAGGAGATTTGAACAGAAATCTCTTAATTCCTAATTCAGTTATAAAACGAATGCAATTTTACTATATACAGCTGTTCTTGCCATTTTACCTCAGTGCCTTTACTCCAGACATGTATTTTGCAAGTGTATTTTTAATGATAACATAACTTATGCATGTTATAAAGCAATGTGGAAAACACAGAGAAGTATGAAGTTTTAAATCATCCTTAATCTTACTACTCAAAAATAACCACAGTTACTGTTTGAGTGTATTCCTTTCCAAATATTTTTCTGTGCATTCATCCAAGTATATTTCTTTCGACATGTATTTTTATTTAGAGTTTTGTATCCCATTCCATTTTTTTTATTCTGAGTGAACTGAGGTGGCATTCTAGCCTTATGTTATTGGATTGGCCAAAAAGTTCATTTGGTTAGTCAGTGTGTTTCTCCATAAAGTTCTTTGTAAAAATGAAAAACGTGTCTTTTATTTTTACTTAAAACAGAACAAAATTTTTGGCCAACCCAATGTTTACAATTGTACTGTGTCGCCTTTCAGTGACCTATTTTTCCTATTTATACTAAAATATAAATAAAGAATTAGTCCACCCTTCTTGAGTTAACTTTTTTTTTCAAGACTAGAGCCATGCTTCTCAACATGTAGTCAGGACCAGCAGCATCAGCGTCACTTGGGAGCTTGTTAGAACTGCAGATTCTCTACTGAGTCAGAGTCTTGGGGGTGAGACCCAGGAATCCCTGTCTTAACAAGCTCTCCAGGTGATTTTTCACACATGATAAAGTTTGGACTAAAGTTTTGGTTTTCCATTTGTGTTGATGAGGCAAAAGCAGCTAATAAACCCGTTATAGGTTAAAGACAAGCAGAATAATTGTCACACTTTGAAGAAAAAGAAAGAGCTTCTTACTTACCCAGATTTCCCTCATCCACATGCTTTCAACTCTACTTTTAATCAATTACTTGGGTTAAAGTCCACAGACCTCTTTAAAATGCTTATATGCTTACTTAGAAATGCAGTAGTTACCTATACTTACTATCATCCAATTGTGCTTTCATTTGCATATACTTCTCCTAGTGAGCCAACTAATCATTTATCAAAATCAGAACAGGATGAAGGGTAGGCACATTTTAAGTTTCATTCTGACAGCTTTTCTTAAACATCTACCATGCTAGATCAATATAGAGTAGAAAAGAAAAATACATTTTCTACACCCTGCCCTCACGACAATTCACAATCTTGTTAGGAAATAAAATTTTCCTATATGGTTTAATTAACTGCGGTCAATCAAGTCCTAAATTGACTAGTATTACAGTATGTGAGACGAGCAGTGTATGCCCTGGACTATACAGAAAGCTGGACATATTTATTAGGGAAGGTCTCCTTAAGAAAGGAGGAATGTCAGTGGTGCCTAAATAATAATTATTATATTAACGATAAACAGTCCACCTATTAACTACTATACCTGTGATACCTATTCCCCAGACAAGGCTGAATGAGATTAGGTATCTTTGTCAATGTTATATAAATAGTACTTCGTGGAGTCAGAATTTAAACTCAGATCTGTTTGACAGGAACCCTGTTTCTTACCACTTCTGCCTTCCTAGTTAGCTCTGACTGAGAAGTTTTACAGATTGAGAAAGAGCCTGTAGAAAACCGCAAGTAGAGGAGGCAACCCCAGAAAGGGTGAGCATGAGTTACACAAGTTCCTGTGTCAGGTTCGCCTGAGCAGAGAGCAAGGTTGATACTGGCGAGTTGCTAAAACCAAGAGATCTGTAAGGATTATGGAAGGTCTTGCATGCTTCGATGGGGATCTGGGATATACAGCAGAGATGCTGAAGAGCCGTTACATATTTTTTAAACATAATGAAAGTAATGTTTTAGGATATTGCATAAAAAAGCATAATTGGGTGGGAAGTGAAGAGATATTTGCGTAAAACAATCAATTAATAGGTTGATTGTTGTAAATCAGATACCAGATGGAAGGAAGGTGACTGGGGTGCTGGCAGTGGGGAAAGAGAATGATTATTAAATGATTATTAAATATTAGAAAACAAGGGTGAAAGTTTTTAATGGTAGATCGGCTGAAAAGACAATTGGAAAACCTAAGAATTTGAACCTGACGTTCTGGGTGATTTTGAACTGTACACAAAAATTGTAATAATCTGAAGAAGGATTGTCAAAAATTAATAGGGCAGTTGGTTTTTTTCAGAGACTGAGTTCAAGTCATTCTTTCTTGCTTCCTAACTACATCCACCCACCTAGTCTCCGTGTTCTGTTGATCTTAAATCCCGCCTACTTTATCCTGCCTTGTTTGCTTTATCCTTCCTCATAATCTTCTATACCTCTGGCCATCTTTCAATAGGCCTATAGGCCTATTGCTATAGCAATTACAACCAACATGCTCTCATTACTCACTTCTCTGAGAGCTATTGTTTTGCTACAAGGAACTTTCTTTCTAAAACCTACATCAAATTATGGCATCTTTCTGCTGAAAGTTTAAAAATATTTCTTCAGTGTTTTATTGCATTATTTTATTTGGTATGGCATTCAGAATTAAAGCAACCATAGTTTATTATCCAAATAAGACAACTGGGAGATTGAAAGTGGCATATTAATAATTACACTCAGACAAAAGGTGTATGGGCTGTGCTTAGCTTTCTAGCCACATCGTCTTCTGACAGCACTTCTTGCATGAGCAGTGCACGAGTACTGAGTGAACAGTCCCTACTCCAAAGGTCCCCAATCTGTGTTGTTCACAGCTGTGCTTGTGTTGCCTAATCTACTGCTCACATCACATGGGCTCAATAACTATTTGTGGAAGGAAGGAAGTGGGAAGCAAGCCTTGAGTAAATCAAAGAGTTTCTGAACTGTTTTAGTCTAGTGTGTTGTGTTTGTTGAAATGAAATAGAATTTAAGGTCTAGCACCCTTGGGAAGAGGAAACCATGGAAAGCCAAAGGGAAGCACAGAGCACATGGGAGAGGAAAGTAGAAAAGGGAAGTCCCAGAATCAGACCTCCTACTTCATAGCTTAGCAAAGGACAGATGCTAGGAGTATTGAATTCAAGGGCACTTTACCAAAAGACTCTGCTTATCAGATAGATAGATTTTTTTACCAGAAATAGTTCTTAGTTTTGTAAAGAGGTCTGTCAAATTCATCATATATGTCAATGCAGAGCTATTAAAAAGTTTTCACAATAGTGTTTTAGAAGTTCCAGCTATAAAGGAGGTATGTAAATGTCCATTTTGCACTTCTGAAAACAGGTGCAGTCTCTATGAGAAAACAAAATGTGTTAGGAGAATGGGAACAAAAAGGAAAATGATGAAAAAGAACCTACAATCTAATTACATAAATGTCAGTTTTGTACGAAAACTAGATTTGATGTAATTAAAGCACACCTGTAACAAATAAAATGAAACAGACATATCTTTCCATTTTCCTGAAATAAAGGAAGATTAGAAATCACGTGGTATTTGTGGGAGATTTATACTAAATATGCAAAAATAAAGTTCCCCTGTGTGTGTGTGCATGAGAGAGAGAGAGAGAGAGAGAGAGAGAGAGAGAGAGAGAGAGATTTTCTCTTATCTCTTAGCTGATAGCCCAATAGTACAGCCAATATTCATGGCCTTTCAGTAAAGTCCCTTACAGTAAGGAGATGATATCTATAAATAAGTATAAATTAAATAGTTTTCAATGATTGTGAGCACCTGTGAAACAAACATTACATTTGTTTAACAATGTATTGATTGTTTTAGACCTTTCCCCAACTAAAGCCATAGCAGGAACTTACTATCTTTGTTTGTTAGGTCAGAACCAATGCTTATAGACTAAAAATCAGATTATGAGTTTAAATGTAGAGAAAAGAGTGCTCTTTCTAACAAGAGGATACTCTCCTAAACAGTGGTTTGATAGCATTTGATCTGCTACTGGGGCATTTATCTGGAGAGACATTTTTTGGGTGCTGTGCTCACGTAGGATGTTTCGTTCCAGCCATCTATGAGCCTTCCTGTGAAGCCTACAAACACCTAGGCCAGACATCAAATTACTACTGGATAGATCCTGATGGCAGTGGACCTCTGGGGCCTCTGAAAGTTTACTGCAACATGACAGGTAACTATGCCATATTTATGTTTCATGAAGATTGCTTTTCTGTCTGTTGAGAATAAATAGCACCACTAAAGTTTGTTTCTTCTGTGCTGTATTCTTATCATAATGTGTAATAAGCTAAACATTGCTGGCTTTGTTAGGCTAAATGGTGAAATGTATTTCAATGCTAGGTTTTCAAAAAAAGTCTACCTTCTGATTTGAACGGTTAATAATTAGTGTTTTAAAAAATCAGCATGTAGAGGAAAAACTAGAAAGTAAAATTACAAGGTTGAAGTCTACAGAAAGAACTAGCCCATGAAGCATCCTCCACAAGAACCTAGACTGGGGAAGGTGAGTATCACCTCTCAAACCATCCACACTGCCCACGTGAAAGGAAGCTCAGAGGTCACGCCAAACCTTCCTCTGCTTGCCATGGTTATACAAGGAGCCGTTCTGGGTACTGAAAGCCCATTCTGGCGCTAGCAAAACTTACCTGCCACTTTCATGTAATTCTTCTGGGGAAGAGAGCCTAGTTTTTCTTCACTTCCATATTAAATTTCAGGGCTATGAAATGAGATTGTGGGTTCCCACAGTCATATGTAAGATGTACAGATCTGTAAGATAAGAGCACACCTTCCATCAGACACTTGGTAGCATCTTGTCCTCCAAAAATCTGGAGAAGTGTGTGGGGCGAGCACTGTCTACTAGCTCCAGGAGGGGATCAGCATTTGATACGAACTCCTGAGGCATATGATGCTAAGGATAATGGTTATATGATGCTGCTGATGACGATTGCTGCATGGATGGTTTACCATGTATCGGGTACCACAGTAACCGCTTTATTCAGATAACCTGGGTTTATATTCTGGCTCTGTTAATCACCAGATATATAATCTTGGGCAACTTATTAACTGTATTAATTTCAATAAGCCTCGGTATGTTTTTCTCTGAAATTGATTAATAATAATATCTACCTCATAGCATTATTGTATGAATGAAATAAGGTAATCTACATGTGGTTCTTAGCATATTGTGTGACACATAATAAACTTTCAGAAAAGGTTGCCAGGAGTTAGGTATAATTATTTTTTAAAGAAGTTAGAGAGTTAAATAACTCGCTTATATTATCCAGGCAAAATTCTAATTCCAGTATGTTTGAGGCCAATGGTTCTTAAATCCAGCTATGCTTCAGAAACATTTATGGAGTTTTGTCTTCCCATACAAACCTGTTGGCTCCATCTCAGGAGACTGACTCAGTAGGTGTGAAGTGCAAATAGGATTGTGCGCCTAGAACTAAGAGCCCTAAACAGTGCTGTAGACAAGCAGACCCCTGTGGAGAACTCGTCAACGTCAGGAAGACAGACATGGCACAAAACGGAAGGGAGAATGATGAGGTGTGGAAGGTGGGTAGAGAAAATGGTAAAGTGAGAGCTACTTTCCCCAAATTTCCCCCCATGTCAAGACTCTAAGCGTGCCCCAGAGAAATAATTCACTTACCAGAAAGCTTGACCCAAGAGTTCATTGATTGTTGGACTTGTCAATGCACTCAGGTACTTTCTTCTTTACCTTCATTCTAATCTTACTTCAACTAAAGTAGAATCCATGAGAGCTAGACTTAATCCAAAAGACTCTTGATGTTGACTTCTCAAAACTATTGTCAGCTATTAACCTTAAGGGAAATCAGGGCATCCTGAATGGGCTTGGACAATTAAGAAGTTACTTTAGTTACTTTCCTATATGCCTTTTCAGAAAAGAACTAGAAAACTAAACAAAACCATAATGTATACGATCCTCATATGAAGAACACACAAAATGGAAGAGGATTTTATCCTTTTTTTGGGGGGCGGCGGGGAGAGATCACTTTTCTGTGAATTGAAGGCCTAATGTGGAAACACAGATCTCCTCTTCATCAATACCTCCTTTAAAGAGTATGACTACAGTTTGACCTAATACTCTAGATTCAGTCTAAGTGGTGAAAAGAACAGCATGATTTCTGCAGCTAGAAGATTTTTTTCCTATCGTCAAGATAGTTATGAGCACCAGTGTTTCAGGGACCCTTGAAGGCCATCAGGTACTCTTTGGCCTTTTGCAACCCATTAACCCTTCCTTCATCTGGAAAGAGCATGAACTTGACCCATTAGGAAAACATGGCACCACAGAGCTTGGCTTGGGCTGTTGCTTTTCCAAGAGATACATGTTGAAGAAGAGGAGGGAGTGACAGCATGAGATAGTCTATGAATCTTGAGATATCACTCTATGGTCATGAGAAATTGTATATGCACCTTAATTCACAACATTTGTATTAAAGAATAGAGCTGTCCCACTTCTTAGTGACCCAAATGTAATTGAGTGTTTATCACTGTTGAATACATCACATATTTTTAAAATGGGAGCAAGATATCCTCTCTGGGGAAGAAGCAATGTCTTGGCAGTGATCAGTCTCTTTTTCCTCCTTCTTACTAAGATGAGGGAGAGTTTTTCACTTGTGCAGACATAGTGAATATATGAGTCTTGATATTGGTTTCTCGACACTGGAGAAACTTTACTGGCAGGTAATATCTGATGTAAATTTGGGTAGAAATGAAAAATCACTCTGTTGGAAATCACTTCTGATTTATAATTATTCTTTGGAATACTAAACTTTAAATTCACTTACTAATTAAAATATAAAACAAAATGAAAACACAATTAATTTAGGGCCTGGCAAGAAGAAGGTAGTCTCCTCTGACTTTTAGAAAAGAAGTTCCTCCAAATAATCATTACAACATCACTGCTTGCTGATATCTCCAAGTTTTATGTTTGTTTAACATTATCAAATAAGTAAGTTGTTCCTCATCTTATCCTTATTACATTTTCCGTTGAATCACAGGGAAGACTTGAAGTTTGTCCCTGTTAGAGTATTTTACTGTTGGATTCAGTCCAAACTGTCAGCATATATATCTCTTGGCATCTCAGATACTGTTAAATTCTCAATTTCTCCTTCCCAGTGCCTCTTGCAAATCATCATTCTTTCCATTCCTCAAACCACCATCCTGATTCAGACCCTCAATTGTTGGGTTTAGGTTATTCTAGTAATGTCCCAACTGGCCCCTGTTGGTTTACAGCCTTGGGAGTTCCCCAAGTGAAATCTGAAACTGGACCCTGTACGTGGAAGGCAAGGAGAGACTGAGAAGGAGGCAGACCCTCTAGATTGGTAGGTGAAGGTTTAATAAGCAAGGGAACTTTACTTACAAGGCTTGTCTTGGGCGACACAATAGGAGTAGATTTCTGCACCCAACCCACAGGATCTTAAAAGTTTATATCGAGGCCTTGACAGGTTCAGTGACATATTCAGTCCAGATGGTCTCAACACCTACCTCTCGCAAGGATTTACTCCCTGAAAGGGCTGCTTGCCTGGGAATAGTAGGTGGGATGTACATTCCAAGGACAGGGGAGGGGTGAGGAGCCTCCGGTTGCCAGGGTTCTGCTTAAGGGTCAGATGGCAGTCACATTCTCTCCATGACCTCCTCCAACAGTCCCTTCAGCTCCAATATTTTCCTACTGCCCCTGCCTCCATGCCACCTGTCAGCAGGCTGCTAGATGAATGCTCCTAACACACCACTGTGATCATATGACCACTGTGCTCCATCCCAACTACTGAATAATGGGAAAGGGCCTCAACTTAGCATTCAACTTCCTTCACGTTTAATACAAACTTTCTAGCACTGTCTTTTTTCTACCCTGCTTCTTTATGGCCATCCCATGCTCCAATCAGAGTAGAGTTTCCATCATTCCCTAAATTCAGTTTGGCTTGTTTTACACTAAATTTCATGACAGTCTCCCTGTGTACAATATTCTCTCCTGAAACTCTCTATAAAATACTTATCTCTCAAGAGTTTTCTGGAATCCTAAACTCCTCCATGAAGCTCTTCCTCATCTTCAATATACCCTTCACCACCAAATGACCATTGTAAACTCTTTTATCGATCAAAACCTTTCCTCTTTTATTTTTAATTTTTATTTTATATTGGGGTATAGTTGATTAACAACATTGTGTTAGTTTCAGGTGTACAGCAAAGTGACTCAGTTATACATCTACTTGTATTGATATCTATTCTTTTTCAAATTCTTTTCCCATTTGGGTTATTACAGAATATTGAGTAGTGTTCCCTGTGTTATACAGTAGGTCCTTGTTGGTTATCTATTTTAAATATAGCAATGTGTACGTGTCAATCCCAAACTCCCAATCTATTCCTCCCCCCCCCCGACCCTTCCAACCTGGTAGTCATAAGTTCATTCTCTAAGTCTGTGAGTCTGTTTCTGTTTTGTAAATAAGTTCATTTGTATCATTTTTAAAAATTATGCATATAAGTGATACCATATGGTATTTGTCTTTCTCTGTCTGACTTACTTAGGATGACCATCTCCAGGTTCATCCATGTTGTTGCAAATGGCATTATTTCATTCTTTTTAATGACTGAGTAATATTCCATTGTATATATGTACCACATCTTCTTTATCCATTCATCTGTCGATGGACATTTAGGTTGCTTCCATGTCTTGGCTAGTGTAAACAATGCTGCAGTGAACATTGGGATGCATTTATCCTTTTGAACCATGTTTTTCTCTGGATATATGCCTAAGAATGCGATTGCTGGATCATGTGACAACTCCATTTTTAGTTTTTTGAGGAACTTCCATACTGTTCTCGATATTGGCTGCACCAGTTTACATTCCCACCAACAATGTAGGAGGGTACCCTATTCACCACACCCTCTGCAGCATTTGTTAGTTATAGATTTTTCAATGATGGCCATTCTGACCAGTGTGAGGTGGTCTCTGTATTATTTCTTACACTGCATGTAAAATTTACATTATCTAAAAGAAAATTTTTAATTAAAAATGTAATGTACACACACACACACACAAACCCCCAAAATGTGAATTTCTTCATAGACTTTATGAAAAGAAAAAAGAACGGAATATTTAAGCATCCCTCTAGGATCCTTTTTCTAGGTTTTTTCATTTCTATATTCACTGTGTGC